TTGCTATTATGATTAAGGAGCACAAATCAATTGAATTAAATCAACATGTTCTACAAAACTTAAATTAAGCATGCAAGAAACATAGGATAATATTTAAAGGAATCGAAATTGAATTGAAATTTATAATAACCTCAAAGTTGGAAATTAGCTCTCCATAGAAATTGTAGCCGTATTTTCTAATTTGGAGTAAAACAGAATACCTAGCAGTAGCACTGAGTTTTAACTTAAATAACACAAGAAATTGGACTAACAGAGCAATCAATCCGAAAAACACAAAATTGACCCAAAAACTAATTATTTTCTTAAGTCTTGAATGAAAACACATTAATTGACTCTTCTGCACTCTGAGTTGGCTTTTGACTTCAACATGAAACTTTTAGATTTTCCTCTTAGATTTCCAACTCATATATAATTCTTCAAATGACATCTCTTAGCTAGGTTATGATATGAATAGTAAGATAATGTCAAATACTACTTATTCAACAAATAAGTAATGTAAATAAAATAAATGCAGAATAAAACTAAACTTAGAAAACATACTGAAAGGAATAAAAATAACAAGAAAAGCTATATAAATGTCGTAGTAAAATAGTGAAAGAGTGTGCATCAAAATGCACTAATAAACACCCCCAAGGGACGCCACTGCTCTTACCATTACAAAAATCCCCCCAAAAGGCCGAGGAAATATAACAAAAGGCCACCAGAGGCTGAGAAACATTACAAGAAACCAAACCATTAGTTCTCCTCTAAATCATCTCATTCCCGATGACATCCTCCGATTGAAGGGATCCAAATTCACACCCTGCCACCGCCCCAACCTCGTCCTGTGTGTTCTTAGTAGAATCAGAGTTTTCAGGCTCAAAAGGGGACGTCACCTCTTCATCCTCTAGCTGGCCATCACAGACAACTTTAAGGAAGTCTATTGGCTTATATCTAGCTTGGGATATAAGAAGGTAACCTTCTATCTGGCCAACTCAAAGTAGATGTCAGAAGTAGACACCACCTCATCAGTAAGCTATGACACCTTCACCTCTAGCTCCTGTTGGTGAAGGAGGGAAGCATCCAGGGACTCTCGTGAAGATTTTTCCTTAGAAATGATCGCCTCAACCTTGGCCTTCACATCCTATAACTTCTTATCCCAAGCCTCATCGCCTTTTTGCAGGGTATTAAGTAGCCTCAAGCTCTCATTGTAAGGCATTCACATATTTATGGAGCTTCAACTTCATTTCTTTCTCATTCTTATCTCGCATCTCCCAATCGACATCCTCTAACACCAATGTCCTTAGCATAAGGTTATCCTTCATGCTTATGATCGCATGAATAAATTTTAATTTAATGGACTGGTATTCACCTTGAAACTCCTTGGATAAGGAAAAGTGAGAACACTTGAATTAGAGAGTGTCAAAACCAGCATCACTCCACAAAGTAGCAGGAGGCGGGGTAGCCTCACCTTCAGTTTGTGCTTGAGTTGGGTGATTATAGTGGTCTTTAGTCTCCCCACTAACATCCTTAATATTCTCCCATATTTTTATCCTCTCTTCAGTAGAAATCTTCACCATTTGAGACGCTAAACAATAATTAAAGGTCACAGATGTTGACTGAAAATACATATAAAGGAAAATAGAGAAACTAAAACTTACCTATGTAAATTTTGAGATGGTTACCGCCCTCTATCCACAGTTTAATTACTATATATGAGTCCATGAGTTTGAACTTTCCTAGGAGGCGAACAATCCTTGCCTCTTCGAGGGTAAGATAATTCTTGTTATATCTCATGATTCTCATAGGATCATTTTCCTATGCTAGGGGAAAGAGGGAGTATCATCATACCCTGATACTCCAAGAGACATTTCTCTCCCTATCACACATGAAAATTTGTCCTTCCAAGTCTTGTAATGATTTGAGTGAGATGCAAAAAGGGCCTCCCCCGATAGACCATCTAAGGACATCCATTTACCATTCATTTGTATGATGGTATAAAATGAGAAATGATTCATATAGTAAGATTAATTCCTAGGTTTTCACAAACCATCTCAATGGACATGATAAAACTCCAACTGTTAGGAAACAACTAGGAGGGTGCAATGTTGAGAACCCTTAAAACCTCCATGGAAAAAGGGGAAAGGGGGGAAACAACCCTCATGTCCTTGATAAAAGGGAGGTAGAAGTAAAAGTAAGACGAAGGAGGATTAGAGAAGACGAGCATGTTCCCTATCTCTGACGGAGAACAAGCCTCTAGAATAACCATGTCTTCATCATCTTAAGAGAAAACCTCCACTTATGATCAGATATTGAGGATCTGTTCATCATAAGTGTAAAAATATCCAATATCCTAGACGTCCAATAGAATAAAAGTAAATCACCACCACTGTCACAATCATAAAATAGGGTGACTACAACCCTTAAAACCTACAACCCTATTTCAAACATTTCTCCATAAACCCTACTCATGATATAAAGAAGCAAGAGAAAGGGAAATTCATACATGGAAATAGGGTTGTGAGTGAAGAATCAGGGGTGAAGATGAGCTATGTAGTTTAGATGAGCTTGAAGAATTTGTGGGAGAAAAATATAGCAAATGAAGTGGAATGAGAAAGCTTTTTATAAGGGATTTAAAACCATAAGGGACCTTTTAGACTCCCCCGTGATTTTTAAAATATCACCATGTTTCTGACACGTGCCACTAGAGTTTAAGGTCTCCAAAAATAGGTCATCACCACTTACATTAATTAGAAGTAAGCATGACCATCTGAAAGATTGATTGCCATTTCGACTGACATTTTAGCTAATCATGAGACGTCTGGAAAGGGGAGACGACTTCTCTCTCAATTAGGGGCTTACGTAAATAAAGAGGAACTTATATCACCTTAAAAAGGTTGTTTCAGTTGAGGGACTCACCCCAATCTAAGGGACTCGACTCACCTTAAAAAGGTCACCTTTAGTTTAGGGACTCGTGTCACCCCTAAGCTAAGGGACTCACCTCACGTATAAAAGTTATCCTTTAGATGAGGGACTCACCCCACCTTAAAAAGGTCGCCTTTAGTCGAGGAACTCACCCCAAGCTGAGGAATGCACCCCATAAGCAAAATACGTCTTAAAAATATGTCTCCCTTTACAAGTCCTCGTGTTTAAGGGACTGTGTAGTGTTATATTTATGAGAGTCCTCAAACAAGGGTGACTCCAGGATATCTCCTAGGATACATCCTCACAGAGCACGAGGGCCTCCCTGAGGCATATGGCGTGTATATTGTCGTTATCTTTCACTAGTTATATGAGAATGAGTCATACCATGACTCCTTTTAAAGTATGTGGTCAACAGTTCTCCCCTAGTCAGGGGGAGCGATTACTACCTCTGGGGGTTTCTTAAACCCTAGGCCTAAAAGGCCCCAATTATAGCGGTGAAAACCAGAGATCAAGCTATTAATTAACTTGACTTACAAATAAGCAAGAGTCGTCACCACGCTTTATTATTTCCAAGGGAAAAGGGAAAAGTGTGAAATAAAATCCATAAATATGCAAAGTAATTGCAATACTAAAAGTAAAGAAAAATATAATGCATTTGAAAGATCGAAGGTTCGAGGGTTGGTTATACAAAGAGAATGTACTAGCACCCTATGTATCTATATTATCCTATAGGAACCTTTTGAAATATATGTTTTTTGGTTAAAATTAGTTTGCTTGCTAAATGAGTGTGGGGGTGAGACCTTGAAGATGCGACAATCTAGTGTCGAAGTTTTGGCTTAAAAGAGTATGGAGATAAGAAAAGAATTTTTGAAAATGCAACAACCTAATGTCGAGGTTTTGGTTTAAAGAGGTGTATGTTTGAAATTAGGTTTTGAGGGATTTAATTAAGGGAAGACAAACAAAACATATAAACATGCAAAAGACACACAATGACATAAAATCAACAAGACAATCCTTTCCCTTGAATTAAATCGAGCGATCAAAATAAAATAGACATCAAAATATAAGCATTCAAAAATTCACAAGAAAATAAGTCTAACGAAACAGATTAATGACCAAAAGGCACTGAAAAATTAAAATGACAGTGATATTTAAATACAAATAAAAGAGAATGTAACTAATTATGTAAAGAAGTTATTTGAACTAAATTAAAAATTTAAGATTACTTACTAAAATAATTCTAAACTAACTACAAATTCTAATGTTATAAAAATAATTCTAAAATTACTAAATTAAATCTAAACTAAATTAAAATTTTAAAATTAGTAAATTAAATCCGAACTAAATTAAAATTCTAAGGTTACTAAATTAAATCTAAAACAAATAAAAATTCTAAAGTTACTAAACTAAATCTAAATTAAATAAAATTCTAAAATTACTAAACTAAATCTAAATCAAATGAAAATTCTAAAATTATTAATTAAATCCAAATCAAATGAAAATTCTAAAGTTATTAAATTAAATTTAAATCAAATAAAAATTCTAAATCAAATAAAATTCTAAAGTTACTAAACTAAATCTAAATCAAAAAATAAAATTCTAAAGTTATTAAATTAAATCTAAATTAAATAAAAATTCTAAAGTTATTAAATTAAATCTAAATCAAATTAAACTAAACCAAATAAAATTCTAAAGTTACTAAACTAAATCTAAATCAAACAAAAATTCTAAAATTATTAAATTAAATCTAAATCAAATTAAATCTAAATCAAATAAAAATTCTAAAAAAATTACTAACTAAAATATATAATAAAACAATTAAAACAAAATATTTAAAAAAATGAGAAACAACAAGTGGGGGCATATAGAATTCGTTGGGCTTTAGGATAAATTATTCAATAGACCCAAAAAGAAATAAAAAGACAAAATATATAAAATAAAATAAAAACTCTGGGTCTAAAGTGGACCGGGTCGGGTTGACCCAGTCCAGTCCCCACTTAAACCTGACGGATTGTAATAAACCCTAGAACAACTATAGCAGTACGCTCTCTTTTCCCAATTCCTTTGTTCTACTTTCCACAATATTTTCTTTCCAAATGCCCTGTTTCACGCTAAAATCATCCAACAACAATAACACAACCTCTCATCTTCTCACATTATTTCCCCGTTTCATCTCTCTCTCTCTCTCTCTGCTTTTTCCCTCACACGATTTTTTCTGTTCCAAAATCAACAAAAATATGAAGAACAACAATCGTATTCTCTTTGTTCACACATCCACGGTTTCTATTGATTTCTCTTCATCCCAGTCACTCGGTTCTCCTTCTTTCATTATCGTAACAAAAAAAAAGAGACCAGAATCAACAAAACTCGACCGATTCTGGAAATCAGGAATATAGTCATGCTCGTTTTGTTACCCTCATCACTAATACGTCCCTCAATCTCTCTGAAATCAACCGAACCTCAATAATTAATTTCAAACTTTGTTCCAAAGAAAAATCTAACACCTAAAACCGAAATTATAAGGTGAAGAAACATAGTTTCAATCAGTTGGCACAGATCTATGGATCAACATATCATAGGACATCATGTTAACGAGAAAATTCAAAAATAAATAAGGAGATTTACATGGTCGGAGCACGTCCGACAATTCATGATTTCGGCGAAGGCTTCGACTCAGGTGAAATTCGAATTCCTTTCTCTCTTCTTCTGTTATTCTACTTCTTTGGTCTGATTTGTACACAATTTCTTCTTTCTCTAAGTTTCTGCTTCTGAAATGCGTATTGTTGTTTTGTAATTTATGTTGTGTTGATTGCCGTGACTTTATGTTGAATGAGTTTTTTTTCTATTTAGAATAAACTGGTTGTTGAATGTTTGGGGGATTTTTACAAATGTTTTAATAGAGGCATTGCAAGGTTTGGTTGAAGGTGACTGGATAAGGTGAGGTGATGAAGATTTCTTAAGGAGGAAAATGTTGAGCAGAATTTTGGATGAAGATAAACAGAGGTTTGTATTTTGTGTGAGATTTTTTTTTTGTAATTTTTCTCCTCTCATCTCAGTGGACTCCCCCCTTTGTCTATGATTTTCCTACTGTCTTATAGCCAAACATAAGTGAAATTGGAGGGAGAAATTTGAAAAAATATAATTGCATGTTGTAATGCCTTTTATTTTGAGCAATTCTTGTTGTTTTGCAGCAGGTTGGTGGAGCAGGTTTGACAGCAACAACAGGTTTTTGTATGATACTTCTGTGCAAGTCTTTGGACAGGTTTTGGAGTAGTTTTTTTGTATGTATAGTATACTGTTTTGATGCAGGTTCTTGGTCAATGTAACAGTAAAAATACAGATAAAAGGATTTGTCATTTTGATGAAACTTGGTTTTGAATTTCTTTTTCTTTCTTTTGAACATGAGACAAAACTAATAATGATAAAAATATGAAAAGAATCAAAAAGTTAGTAAAATAATAATAACAATAAAGAAGAAAACTATAAGTAATAACACTGAATTAAACTTAAATATCTATGACTTTTTTTTACTTGAATTAAAATAAATAAAAGTGCAATTTAAAAAGAATAAATGACTTATATACTAAAAAAATGCAAAAATGAGAGAAAAAGAGACTTGTAAATATTTTTTTTAGATTTTGAATTAGCAATGATTTAAAAATATAAATTTAAATGAAACTATAAATTTTTTTTATATTTTGCATAAAGTAAAACTGATATGAACTAAATATATTTTTTTGGATTTTCTTTTTATGAAAATAAGAATAAAAGAAAGATGACTATAAGTGCAAAAATACATGATTTATTAAAGTCGGGCAAAACCAGTTAAATTTCACTAAATTCACAACAATTTCTAACGTTTCTACTTTTTTTCGTGGCTTTTTCAAAGCATAATCATCTCTTGACTTGTAAAGAAAAGTTGTAGATGTTTTCAAGGAGAATCATATGTAAAAGAACCACTAGAAATGTTGAAATTTGAAGAAGTTATGAATTTTTGAAATTTGACTCGAGAATTGGCAAAAACAGGTCAAACCACTTGTGAACCCTTGCTATGCAATGATACAGATGGAATGCGAGATCTTAGGTAAAAAATTAGGGAATGACACATATATATACCTCTCTTATAACAAGAGAAGAGGATCAGATCTTAACTCATACAGATCACACCTTACATATTCTTACCTTAAAGCATCACGGTTATACACATAGCCTATCACCTTACGCGAGGAGGCCCTCTAAACCACCATAAACACCATCATACAAGGCTCCTCACCGTTGTGGGAAAACCATAACATTCATACATTGTAATATACCTACAAAGGCCCATGCCATAGCAGTGATAACATGTACGTATGTGCTTTTTAACTAGTTTTTTTCAAAAGAGTTATTTGATCGTTGAGTTCATTTCTTCATCTTTCAATAGTTGAAACAACATATTGAGTTTCTCTAAGATTTCTCCCTTCTAAGATATTTGTTAGCTACGAAGGTTCTAACATGGCTTCCAAGATATCTAATGGTTTAACATTACCTATGAAGATGACATTCACATTCATTCGGAGTTTCAACTTCTCTGCCTCGTGTGTCTATTCCCTCTTGTTCAATACTTAGAGATACTTCATAGAACATTTTAATAGTATCCCGTATTTTCTTGACAGAATCACATTTAAGGACATAAAGTTAATTTTCACTTAAAGACATAATCAAAAAGTTTTTAGCTTTAAAATCAAATTCAAACTTTCTCTTAGCTTCTTGGTCTAAAGGAAATTCAATTTATCTACTACTTCACAATTAACATCGTGAGTAGAGATAAATATACCAATGTTTTTTGTTTTTCACAATTTAATATTAATACTTTGAATGAATATTTTAATTCTAGCTTTCCACAAGTCAAACATATCACTATTAAAGAGTGGATGTGTGTTGAGGAAAGTCCTCTTGTTAGAAGAAGTGTTGAAAGTCATCTTTCTCTTGAGAAGATTAGTCTTTAAACACGAGTTAGGTTTTGATGGTGTTTGTTGGACATGTGACTCCTTACACAAGAGGGGGAGGGTGAATTTTGGAGGTTTTGAAAAACTTTGGTTGAAAAGGTCATTTAGACAATCAGAGTTTGAATTTTTTTTAGAATCTAATGAGTAAATAAACATCAGAAAACCAAAGCAAAGACAATAAAATAAAGATATAATGGATAGAGAAAAAAACTAGAGATTTATACATGTTCGACCTAAATTGAACTACTAATGTCCGAAAGAAATATTCATGAGAGTATCCAATAAACTTGAGAATTTTAGAAGGATGTACCTTCAATCCTCCTTATAAAAGAAAAGTAACTTGAAATTCTAACTTCCGTCCAAAAAATTAACAATGTTTAGAGTGATTATCCTCTAAACCAAATAGAGATTTTACACGGGCTGATCTCGAACTAAGATGGAGATTTATACTGACTATTCTCTAAATCGAATCAGAATTTTACACGGGTTGACCTCTAACCGAGTTGAGAATTAACACGAGTTAATCTCAAACTGAGATGAGATTTTACATGGGCTAATATCGAATCAACAAAGCTTTTAACTAGGGTGAACTCAAGAACCGGTGTGGAGATTTTAATGGCTAGTCTTCACGGACCAAAAGGGATATTTTCTTCTTGGCAAAACTCACGAACAAAATGGAGACTTGCTAAGACAATCCCCGAAAACAGACAAGAGATAATAAATTCTTGATAAATTACAATTAAACCCTCATTCAAAACAATGATCCTCGAAGCACTATGGAAAAATATACATGATAAACTGAGAGATTTATAAAAAACAAGAGAGAGTAAGAAATTGAGTGAGATGAAGAGAATAAGATTTGAATTTGAATTCCCTAGAAAATGATGTGTTCCCTTGTTATATGGTAGGACAGTTATAACAATTTACTAATCTATAGGTGCAAAATGCAGGAAGTCGTCCAATTGATCTTTCGGTTGGGATTACCTGCTTCCTCGTCTAGGATAGTGCACTTGTTTCGCATGCAGTTTGGTGAGCTATTTTTTTTTCTAAGTCGTAGTTATTAGGCCTTCTAGACCATCCAAAACTAAATGTTTCCCACACATCACGCCACATCAAACGTTGAGGGAAACTATTATGTGTCGGTCACATGTTCAATACTACATACACTACGCCAAAAAGGGCTTTTAACAACACACATTAGACAGCGCTTTTATACAAAAGCGATGCTATAAGTGAATTTAAAAAAAAACACAGAAACTGTATACAATAATAAATAAAAGCGCTGCTAAAAATGTAACCTTAGACAACACTTTTAAAAAGCGCTGCTAAAAGTGTTGCTTTAGAAAGCGCTTTATCAAAAGCGCTGGTAAAGGACCACTTTAGACAACGCTTTTAAAAAGCACTTTTAGAAAGCACTGTCTAAAGTCATATAAAATTAAAAAAAATCTCAAAAGCGCTGCTAAAGGACCACATTAGCCAACGCTTCTCAAAAGCGCTGCTAAAGGCCCATATTATCCAGCGTTGTCTAAAGGCATATAAATTAAAATTAAAAAATAGAATCAGTACTGTCACAGACTCGTTTCTATCTCAGACTCACGAACGAAAACCCTTTTCCTCTCAGATTCACGAACGAAAACCCTTTCCCTCTCACAAATCGTCGATGTCCAAGCTCCTTCTGTCGTCGTCCAAACTCCTTCCGCCATCGCCCAAGCTCCATCCGCTATCCTTCATCGGACCAGCCCTTTCCCTCCGTCCTCCACCGTCTCTCTCGGTTGTCCTCTACCCCGATCGACCCTTTCTCAAGGTAGGTTCGTTCTTGAATCCGAGTTTTACTAAAATCATGATAAACTAAAATGCTCAATGTTGTTCTGTGTAAAATCAATTTGGGAAGTGTTTTTATTTGTTAGAGTGCATTAACATGGCTAAGAGCAAGCTAATAGAGAAGTTGTTTGTAGCATGATTCTTTTTTACATAAGTTTATGACTGGTTTGTGGGATTCTATTTCTTTTATGGTGTAAATCATTATTTGATTGGTTTGTGTGGTTCTGGACAAAGTACTATTGCTAAGTAGCTTTGTTGACATCCACAATTCAAAAGTAGTAACTTATTGCCTCTTCTTCTTTGTTTCATATAAATGACTTATAATATAAGCAATTATATGATAAACGCGGAAATAAGTTGTTTAATCATATAGGGTGTTAGTCCTCTAAATTATTTCATCTCATTAGACATTCAATCATAGTAAATATCCAAATTTTCATGATTTTAATAGCATAACTACAACATAAGGACTAGTTACTTCACTTCATATATATATATATATATATATATATATATATATATATATATATATATATATATATATATATATATATATATATATATATATATATATATATATATATATATATATATATATATATATATATATATATATATATATATATATATATATATATATATATATATATAGTTAATTAGTAGAGTTTGGTTATGAGATATATAGATACTAAATTTCTAAAAATAATCTGTTTAAATCATACAAAATATTTCTAAAACTTTGTATTAATCTTCTTATAATGTATATACTATTTTCCCTATTTTGTTCATGTGCATTGACACCTAAATTCATTAGCCTCCTAAATGGGCTGTTTTTATTTGTTTTTGATGATCCCTTTGTATTGGTGTAGTTAGTCGAAGACCATCACCGATTCGAAGAACATCAAAGCCGCATCATCCGCCGTCGACATCAATAACCCCTTTTCTTTCTTTGGTAAGTCAAGTTCAAATTCTATCTGTATCAATTAAAAAACACAATTATTTTTATATAGATATATTTATTTTTAGTCCATGTTAATAACTCTAGAAATAATTTTCTAGAAATAATTCGTTTAATTCATACAAAAAGGGAATAATCCGTTTATAGTGTTTTTGTTTACTTTAATTAGTAGAAAAAATGGATAAAAAATGGATGTCTGTCGATTGATTGTCAAAAGAGTACGAGAATGGGGTATTAGAATTCATTAAGTTTGTTGTTGAACACGCCAAAGACCCCAGTCGAATAAAGTGTCCTTGCTTGGTTTGTTGTTATGTGGGTCGGGTTGACGCAAAAAGCACTACGCCAAAAATGATTTTTTGTATCACCTAATTTAATAGCACTTTTAAAAAAAATGCTATTAAAATGGAAAAAACACATTTATAATAGCACTTTTTAATCGGGCGCTATTATATAATACAGACTATGTAATTATGATAGCACTTTGTACCAGAACGCTATTATTAAACTTCTTTAAGATAGCATTTTGTATAAAACGCTATTATTTGACTACCTATATAATAGCATTTATTAAAAAGCGCTATGTTATATATAATAATGAATTAATTAATTAATTGATAAAAAAAAAAAAAAAACACATTTTCAGAAAGTTATTTCAATTAGAAACCGAAACAAAATAAAAAAACACAGGAAGGAGAAAAGTCATTCCAAATCCATTATTTGACTGGCCTCCGACGACACGCCGGCGACCGCGAGCGACAACTCAACTGCTTCTGCAACAGCACAATATCGACGCACTCCGGCCCCCTGTAGCGTCACCGGCAGCCACCACTGGGCGTTCGACTCCGACCTCCATCTCCAGCCACTCTCGGTTTTGCTTGCAGGTAAGCAATTTTTTTCCTCTATTTTCTCGATTTGTTGTCATTGTTGTTGGAGAACTTAAATGCTTGATTTGAATCTTGGATTTCTATTTTGTTGTTGTTCTTATTTTAAGAGAAAGATTGATTTTGTTTTGGGGTTGAAATGGATGAGAATTTACCTTAATCTTATCCTCACCAGCAACGATGGACTCTTTGAACTTCTTTATTTTGTTTTGAGATTCTTGAAGCTTGGCTCTTGAATCTGCATCGTCCACATTAAGTTGTTGAAGAGTAACATTGCTCCGTTTTTCTTCATCAATATTGACCGTGGATTTATTAAAGAATGTGGTGAAATCAGTAATACCAGAATTTTGTTTCACAGAAAGCTCATTAGCTCTATCATTGAGTTTAACTAATAAAGCTTTTACCTCTTCTTCAAGGGTCACATCATTGCTTAAATTTTTCAATAAGTTCTTAGAAAATGCCAATTCTCGTAATTCATCAAGCAGCTTCTCGATTGACTCGTTCGGAGTTTCAGTAGATTCTGCTTGTGTTGTAGATTGAGAAGCCTGTGAAGTACTACCATGTTCATCACATAAGAGTTTCTCTATGATTGCCCAAGGGTCTTCTTCAAGAGTTTTCTTGTATTCAGAATAATCGACAGGAGAATGTTCTTGAGTACTCAATTTCTTTAATTTTGAAGAGTTTTCTTCAGTTCTTATTTGACCCTTTGAAGAAGAAGGTTTACTTGAAGAACTTTCAGCATCCATTGAGGAGTTTGGGATTAGTTTGCTGGGAGCTTCTTGTAGTTGTAACAAATTAGTATAAGAAGGAGATGGAATCTTCACTAATGATGGTAGTGATGGTTTAAGATTTTTAGTTTCCTGGTAGATTAAGATACAATCAAACATACGTATTATTAAGGAATAAAGTAGTTTGCAATAAGAATGAAGCTTATTTCAATTCATTATAAAAACCTCGTATATCTTCAACTTGTTTGTTAAACTCAATCTTGTTGGAAAAGTAGAAGAGTGTGATTCATCAACACCAGAAGAGTCGTCTCTCTGTTGAAAGGTAACAAAAATAAATGATAAGGTATTTGTTGTTTTAATTATTTTTCCGTCATAAGGTATAAGTATTACCTTAATTTCTTTATTGATTGACAATTTTGCATCAGAACTTCCTTCAGTAGAATCTTCCTCTCCAGACTTCAAAGAAGTACTATAATGAAGAATCTCAGATTTCATCAATTCTTTGGAATTATCATCATCTTTCAAATTTACTTTCTCTTGAGGATCGTCATGTACCTGAGTATCTTTAGAGACTAGAAAAAGATACGGTGAGTTTGATAGAGAAAAATTGACTATCTAATCAAAGAAAAAGAAACGGTGAGTTTGTCAAATAAAAACATCAAAAGAAACTTAACATAAACAACATTTGAGAGAATTTAAAAAAGTTTCATACCGATTAAACAGTCCAACTCTTGGTTCTGTATGCTCGTGCCTTCCTTGTCATTTGGTTCAATATCAATGCCTTCTCCCTCATCATAGCCTTCAACTGATCTCTCATGTTCAATTTCCTGATACAACTCTTTTTCCAAGTCCTTGTCTAAATTCCCTGTGCCTAAAACCTTCTGACTTTCTGAGTAGTAAATTGGACAAACCCCACACTCTTTGATTTTTAAAAGGTCACCAAGTTCTCTGCCACTAGTTGTATAAGTTGTAATATAGAATTTAAAAGAAACCTTTCTTTCATTCCTTCTGAGTATGGTGTCACAAAGGAATGGATCATACCATACAAAAATATGATCCATTTCCAAATCTGTAACCAGTTTAGGCTTCCACTTAGACTTATTTCCCACTTCCGTCCTTCCATCTTCCGAATAGCACTGACATAGGATTCCAACAAAGTATTCACCCTCTTGTGTTATGTTAGATGGAATAACAACAACTGCTAAAATGAAGCCCACCCAGTTGAGAACGTCAATAGTTAAGGAGGCGTATGTGGTGGATCGTTGTTTGAACTGACTTGGAATTCTGTGTCCTGGCAGACATACCTCGGCGCTGTTATAATTGTAGCTGTGGGTTTGGAATCTGTACTTTCTCACTAATACATTGTGAAAGGCAGCACTTTTCATTGTTAACATGGCATCTTCCGTCATGCAGGCAAGGGAGGGTCCATCCAGTTTCATCTTAATGCTATTCGTTATCGAAATGTATTTGTTCTGTCCAATCATGTTTACTGAAAAAGTCTTCAAAGTGGATACTGTCGTTAACGACAAGCAGTTGCCAGCCTGAAACTCTTTGATGCTTAAAGGCAGTTCTGGCAGACATTGAAGCTTACTGCAATTGTCTAAAGACTGAACTTCTAGCTCTAAGAGGTCTTTGATGCTAGCAGGCAACTCCTTCACATTGCTTCCATCTAGTCTTAACTCTTGCAATGATGATAAAGAACTAATGTTTGCAGGGAGTTCAAACAAGTTACCACAGTCTTTCAAGTGTAGTAATCTTAGTGAGCTCAGACCATCAAATAGGGCTTTTAACTTTGATTTGGTTACTACACTGCACTTAGAAACCCGAAGTTCAGTAAGTGCCAAGTAAGACAATTCAATCGGTAGACTTGTTAGATTTAAACCTTCTAGATTTAACGAATAAAGCTTGGTCATACCACCAATTGATGGGTGCAATATTTCGATTCCTGTATTGCTCAAATCCAACCTTCTTAGTGCATCCGAAGATAATGAAAATTCCTTCAGACCATAACAACCTTTGACACTGAAGTTTGCTAGAGATTTTAAATGCTTCTCACCCATAAGACTTGGCACTTTTTTGCACCCATCCAGTAGCAAAGTAACAAGTGTGTCCTTAGAAAAAGCAGAAGCCTGAACTTCAAGTAATTCTTCACAACCAGAAAGGCTCAACTGTTTGAGTTTTGGCGCGCCAGACAAATCAGGGAGGTTCTTCAACTTTTTGCACCCACTTGGGTCGATTGCCTCTAAATTCGTAAGTTTCTGTAATAATTCAAAACGATACTTCAAATCTTATTAATATTCTCAAACTTAATTTCCGTTGGTCTTTCAAGCATACATTCATTTTCACACCATACAAAGGAAGCAAGCACAAATGAATAAAAACAAAGAAAGAGCAAACAAATATGAATTAGTTTACAAGTACACACACCTGTTTCTTGAACCAAAGATGTTCAATGTTGCTGTGCGGCAAACAAATCTGAATCAGCTGCTCAACACGAATAGGTTCTGGGAGAGACTTCAAGGGATACCCATTCCATTCAAGGTATGCCAATTTGTCAAAAAATAGCTTAAAATTTTTAGAAAGATGCACCGTGCCCAATTTCTTCTTACCTTTGGGGACGTGGAATTTCAGAAATCTTAATTCAGTCATCAAGTTGAATGTGTCAGCTTGAACTTCTAAATCTAGATTTTGAGACAAGTCTAATATTATTCCTTCAACTGCATCAATGCCCTGACAAATTCAAAGAAATCACTACATTACCACAGCAAATCAACAATAATTTTATATTTAGAAAATGTTAACACGTAACATCCCATACCTTGTTATTTCTAAGTAAATCACAAATGTCTTTAGCATCTTTCAGTCGGCGACGCTTTCCTCGATCATTATCTTCTTGTCGAGCTATATCAAATGCCATATTTTGTAGTAAGCCATGAATCTGTATCGTATTACTGTTTGAAATGGATATAAGAGCTTTATTTTCTAGGATTTCTACTCCATTAGTTGCATTGAAATCAAAGGTATTTAGTATCCTTGTGACCAAGTCTTTGTTTTCATCTTTGAAAAAGAATGCAATGTCAAGAAACATCTCCTTCTCTCGCCATGATAATCCATTATAACTTAGCTGTAACACTTTTTGAATACCCGGGGAAGGTTTCTCCTTTGTTCTCATAATCATTCAACTCAGATACCCAAGATTTTGGTTTTTTTGATTTAAAATGTAAACCCAAAACTTTTAAAGCTAATGGAACACCTCCTGCATATTCAACTGCCCTTTCCGAGATACGCTCGTAACCCTCTCTGGGATAGCTTTGCCGGAAGGCTCCTAAGCTAAAAAGCTTTAGAGAGTCTTTAAGCTTCCATAGTGTGACCTCATATATCTTATCAACTTTTTCACTAAGAATATCTTTGTTTCTCGTTGTGATAATGAGTCTACTGTTATGTCCAAGGTCGTCAAGTACTCCACACAAATCATCTAATTGTGTAGCATTATCAACATCATCAAGTACAATAAAACTTTTTTTACCACTGAGCCTCCTCTTAATGAATGTGTGTTGTCCATGAACGTTAGATGCAGTAATTTCTCGCTTCAGTAGCTCACTAAGAAGCTTATTACGAACATACATTTGTCCAAACTTTTCTGTTTCTTCGCTTACATTTTCCAAGAAACACACATTATCATAATGGGCAAAGTTCTTGGCAAACATTTTTTTAGCTATGGTTGTCTTTCCTATTCCACTCATGCCCCAAATCCCGATTCTTGGGGTTGCAAATTTACCTTTCCTTGATATGTATGTGAAAAAGATGATGAGGGTTGGATCATTAATTCAAATAAAAATGGAGGAAAGTATATTTGGTGAGGAGTTTTTAGAGCAACTACGTGTAGAGAGTATAAAGGAGATTCTTGATCACAATTGGTTAAGTGCATCTATTATCACTGTATTTTCCAGGTACCTCTATTATTACAAATATTCTCTTATTTGACAAATATATTATTAATATTAATGTTATTTGTATTGTTGACTAATATTCACATTGGTGACAAATATATTAATATCAATTGTTGTTCATTTCTAGGTATTTGTATGACAAGTTTATTAGTCCAAATGGATTAATAAATAAGTTCTCTTTCATATCTCCACATGTATCACGGGAGGATAATCTAGGAAATGGTATAGCAAAAATACTTTTGAAAGATGAAGAGTTCAAGGATAAGATGATTCTTGCACCTTGTAATCTAGGGTGAGATTTATATTCAAAAAGTTATTAAATTAACGAGAAAAAACTCTAATGAATGTGAATCTTTAATGCAATATTTAAATGTTGGGTGCAGGAAACATTGGGTGTTGCTTGTCATCAATCTCAATGCTGAGGTGATATATTACATGGATCCGTTGAATGGTGAGCCAACAAAACATCAAAATTTTAAAACAAAGTTTGAGAAGTGAGTATAGACTCTTTTAATTTAAAATTTATGTACGTATTATTATTTATATAATTACTCATTTGAAGTTAATTTCATTTTGTTAGCGCTTTGCAAATTTATCGTGCTAATAGTAGTTCTAAAGTGCCTAAAGTGTCAAAGTCAAAGAAAATCTCATGGCAAAAAATAAAGGTATGTGTCTAAATTAATGTTATTTTAAAACAATTATGTGGAGTAAAATTAATCGATATAAATTTTTTTTTGTAGTGTCCTCGTCAAATTAATGGCGTTGATTGTGGATACTTTGTAATGCGATTTATGAAAGAGGTCATCATGGAAAATGAATTTATGATCCCCACAAATGTACGTGATTTTAATTATTATTATTCTTTTGTAAATTAAATTAATTTAATTTAATTCTAACACGATTAATTGTTGATGTTTTCATATTTGAAGTACTTTTTTGACCACAAATGTCGTACCTACTCTCATGATAAGTTAACTGAGGTTAAGGAGGATTGGGCTACTTATGTGGTGGATGATGTTTTCGGTGAGTTTTTCCTTGACTTGATACTTGATAAACAAGACAAATATTACTCATGGATTTAGAGTTCAAATGTTTTGACTTAGATGTTTAATTTTAATTTTTGAGTTGGATTTAGAGTTGTCGTATAAATGATTTTAGTATTTTATTGGTTTAGAAGATATGGCACAGAGGTACTGAGTGTTCTTTCTTGGTCTCGAATTTAAATTTTGAAATAGGAAAATACGGAAAAATGACTTATATCTTATTGTATGATTGATTTATAGTTTTCCGTTTCTACTTGAAATTTTTAGATATTCGTAGTAACAATTGTAAGGTGTTTGATATCTAGTTCTGGATCATGAAAAGAAAGTTACACACAATTAAGTGTTTATGTATATTTTGAGAATTTGAATTATATTCTGTTTAGTGTTTATATGCATCTAATAATGGAAATTGTGGTCTATATATTTACAAGTCATGTTCTTGTTAGACTTAATTAGTTCAATTATTGCATTAGTTATATCGATTTATTGTTATTAGTTTATAATAATCATTCCTTATTTTATGCGCTTCTTGTTAGACCCATATTAAATGTTTGATTATTCTTTATATGTTGAATTAGTTTTTATTGTACAATACATAATCAATATTCCTTCTATGATACAGGAAAACAAGAAGCAATTATTTTGCCTAATTAGTGATTGTATCTATGAGTTCAACGCTTTTGGATCATGAAGGTGGTTACTACATGGGATTGTTTTGTTATCCTTTCTTATTTTTTTGGTTTTTTGTTTAGAGAATTTGATTGTATGTTTTTGGATTTGGATTGAAGTACTCATAGATGGGCATCTACAAATTTGGCTATGCAAACGCCCTCTTAATATTCTATATGTTATGATATTTGGAAACAATAGGATTTGGTAATTTAAAATGTTATTTGGTATTTGATGGATCATAATATATATGCAATGAGTAACTTAAAGCGTTATTTGTGTTGAATTGAATATAGTTATTTTATATTTACACCAAAAAAAATGATTGTGTAAGAAAAAATATTGTACTGTACTTATTAAAAATATTGTACCAAATATGTACCATTTATTAGCACTTTATTTGAAAGCGCTATCAAACATATGTTATATATTAGCGCTTTTTGTTTAGAGTGCTATAAAAAAACAAACAAAAAACATGCAAAATACTGACTTTGATAGCACTTTAATTAAAACGCTATTATAAATTGGTACTTTAATAGCGCTTTTAAAGTGCTATTAAATAAGAAATATTTACAATAGTGGCGCGGTTAATAGCACTTTTAAGCGCTATCAAAAACAAAAAAAAGCGCTATTAAATAGCTTATTTGGCGTAGTGAAGGTTTATGTTTATGTTTATTACAGGTTAGATGGCTACTAACGAGGATCACCCACATGATGATTCTGGGCATGATCGAGATAAGCCCGTTAATAAAATGGAAATGGAAATTAGACGAGGAATAACAATAATGAAGAGAATCATTCGAGATAGAGATCGAGGCATGAAGTATGATGTGCATTGGAGTCAAGAAGGCCAACTAATTGAGTCTAACGGTTCAACATTGACGAGTTATCTTGGTTCGGTGCTAAGGAGAGAAATTCCAATAACTTGTGAAGATTGGAGAGCAATAGTGTTGGACGATGCTAAAGATAAAATATGGAGTGAGATACAGGTATCATATGTGATGTTATTTGTTTTTAATGACGATTATGTCTTTAAATTACTTATGAGCTGAGAAAGGAAAAAGTTACAACAAGAAGTTTATGAGCTGAGGAAGGAAAAAGTTACAATAAGAAATTTATGAGCTGAGAAAGGAAAAAGAAATAGATCAAGCTACATGTTTTAAAGATACTAGCGACAAAGGTAGTATCAATGGTAACTTTGGATTGAATATTCCCGAGATAATTATATACCATATTTATTAATTATATAACCATATTTATTAATTATATAACCATATTTATTAATGGTTATAGGGCATTTTCCAGTGTCAACTCTATTTGTCGTCACTGACTTATCGGATGGTTGGCAAGGGAAAAGTGTATAATACTACGGGAGAAATGCTTCACCATAAACCGCTCCTAAATGGATTTTTGAAAGTATCGGTTGATGTTGTTTTAGAGGGGGGTGCGTTGTTACCACTACCTGACGATGTGGCGGATGCAACATTGGTGGCAGATGCAATAGGATCATTTGTTGCATGGCCGTCAAGCCTCGTTTGCGTAGATGATGAGGTATGCTTAAAACCATTTACTATTCAAATTTTTTAAGGCAATTTTACTTACATTTTATTTACATGGTAATATTAGACTTAAACAAAATCCATTCCAAAAGATAAGGGGATTAGGCGGGAAACCGAGTCAGTTGTATTAATTGAGGTACAACACAATTATATGATATTTAAGGGATATATCCTGATATATATTCATATTTTCTTTCCATGTGTAGTGTCCTTGCCATGGTAGCGGTATAGATTGCGGCTATTTCATGTTGAGGTTTATGAAAGAAACTATTCTTTTGGATCGATTAGAGATTCCATCCATGATATGGATTTCTAACTTAGGAATTACATACTATATTCATATTTTGTGTTTCTCATAAAATGACATATTGTTTTAACTAAATCACATACTATGTTATATTATTATATATGTAGTACTTTGAGAAATTCAATTGTGCACATTACTCAAGAGATCAATTGGATGAACTTATGGAGGAATGTTGTCAATTCATTATCGGGTTGAGAATTTTATAAGCTAATGTATATTGTCTTATTTCCTTTGATGAGAACTTTCGAGTTTTGAGTATAAATTAAATTCGAATAAATTGCAACATAATATTATCATGTAATGAATTTCGATCATTTGGTTTTTTTTCCAGGTTTATAAGTGCATGTGTAGAAGATAGAGCTAAGATATTCATGTTGTTGTTGTTTTATGAGAATTCTCGAAGATAGTAAGATGTAGATGTAACATCAACTTTGAATTTTAGGATTTTCAACTTGTAGAATTTTAATTTGTATCATGAGTTTTGTAGTTGTTGTTGTATATATCATCAATTTATATATATGTGGAATTTTTACATATGCATATTTTATTGGAATGAAGCTACCAAATATGGTGCATAATATGGTGAAAACCTGATTCAAATATGGTTAAAATCTGATTAAAATGCATTATATATATTGGACAGCGCTTTTGTAAGTCAAAATAGATATTTTATTATAAAAACTTTGTGATCGATAGACAGCGCTTTAAGAGAAAAGCGCTGTAAAAAGTATAAAAAAAGCGCTGCCTAAAGTGGAAAAGCACTGTCTAAAGTGGGAGAATAGACTGTGCTTTTAAAGAAAAGCATTGTCTAAAGCCTAACTTAAAAAATAGCATAAAGCGCTGTCTAAAGAGGTATATAAAAAAACGATGTCTATTTTAAAAGTGTTGTCTAAAGGGGGGGGGGTGCTTAAGAAAGCGCTTTTAATGTAAAAGTGCTGCCTAAAGTGGACATAAAATAACACTTTTACATTGAAAAGAAGCGCTGTCTTTACTTTTAACAGTGCTGCTTTAGACAGCGCTTTTAAACGTTGTTAAAAGCCAAAAAAGCGTTGTCTAATGTCTTATTTAACATAGTGATAAGCTCAATTGTCACTCACGATACATAAACCACCACGCACCTATAATCAAAGATATGAATATATTCATAATTCACTTTACTCTAACGTTAGAATATTAACTTTGCAGATCCACCACACAACCACATCAAAAACAACC